TGTCTTCGCGTATACACACCAATATGGATCTCCAGCAATTCATTCTGAAAACTCGAATTTTAAAATGTCGGACCCACCTTTAATGAATGACATGACAACCCAAATTTCTTTCTCATTTAGTATAGGCCATGTGGTTCGATATAATAACCCCTCCATCAATAACATAAAATTGCTGGAACATCGACTTCTGGCTATTAGAGTAATCAATCGACAGTATTAGATTTGTCATATTTTTCGTCGGAATTTTTGAGGTGGAGGTTTGGACGGAGAGATGAAGTAGACATCGATTTAACGATTTAAGAGAGAGAACAAGATTGTAGAGAGTTCAAAAAAAGAGAAAGATTTGAACATTTTGGTGGGCGGAGAGATGAATTTTGATTCAAAATTTTGTTATGATTCGCCACAATTTGTGATGTTACAGAGTAGTAACATGTAGTTGTATTAGCATATTTGCCAATTCTCTCTTAAGAAAATGTACTGTTAGTGTTAAGTGATTCATGTTATACTGTTACATCCAACTTTTGATGTAGTCGTGTTGATATGTAGATTTATTTAACGATGTCTACTTTCGTGATGCTGATTTTCAAGTTTGACGATATTTTTGTGGTAAAATTTTTTTAAATTAATTTCACTTATAAAGAGTTGATTGGTTTTGTGAGTCCTAAATGAAATATTATTTTAGAGCAACATTGCGAATATGTCCTACAATATAGCTGATATTGGGGAGGGGTTGTTAGACGATGATGATGATGTTGGGTACATGCTGCCACTGACTCAACAATTATCAGTTGACCAAATTGAGATTGTTGTATAACAGAAAATGGGTGCCAGTGCACGCACAGTTGCCATACTTGAGTGTGTCCAAGTACGAATGTTGTTGATTATGTAACAGAGGAACGTAATGTAGTAGGAGAATGTTGTGTTATCTGCACAAACTCAGCTGTTAAGTTATAACTGTGCAAACATTATTAGGGAAGTTGAGCAAGTTTTTAAAGGGGTGCTAGGGATTTCAGGAGGTCGTTATGCTTTTGAGATGGAGAAAATCCTCTGATTGAGCGCCTTCCAACGGGCTTGAGGTCAGCTTGCCACCTACCTCATCTTGTTCCTTCTTCTTCTTCATATTAAACGTATCAAGAACAATTTGTCAAGGTCAACAGTCTACAGCTCTCAGGTCGCCGAGGCGGCACGTGTGCCATATGACCTTTGCTAGGTGGACTTTTGGCTTATTGAGCAAGCTTTTGGGCCACTCCGATCGTTGTCATTTATTGGGTACTGAATATGAGGAGTTCGGCCCATTAATACCGAACTGATCCCATCATTATATTCGATTGTATTTTGTACTCGCAACTTTTATTTGAAGTGTGTGTATATGCACACAAAATAGTCAACAAAGATATCAATGGAATCCTTGTAATTCAAAGAACCCCAAAATTAAAGAACTCTAATTAGGCCATTCTCATATATAATTACTAAAATTTCCATTATATTTTAGTAATTACTGAGGAAGATTTTGGTAATTTGATCTTACCATATGGTGTTTCCCCTAATTTATCCCTATTAATTAAAAGGCAAATTAATTTAGAAATTAGATTATGAAGCAACAAAATCTTGCAAAAATTCATTTCGCACCCGATACTATTCATTATTATGTTTATGCCCCTGAGGTCAGTCGTATTCACTTTCAGCTCCGATGATAACCAATTATCAATTTCAATTTTCAATTTCAATTCCCATTTCAATTTCAATTGCAGCCCCATTGTGACGTAAACCAGAATTGCACCGCCTCGCTTTCTCTCTCTCTCTCTCTCACACACACTGCGGGGAGATCTATGGGTGCTCCGAAGAAGCCTCTGTTGCTAATTATGCTAATTTTATCGGATTTTTTTGTGTCCGAAATTCTCGCTGAAGGCGTAACCAAGGAGGAAGCCAAACAGCTCAGAGATGAGGTTACCATTGATTTACACAGTTTCTGAAATATTTTTGGATGAATTGTTTTTATTTTGCGTGTGATTTTGCAGTGTTTGCTATTGGTTACTGGATTGTTGTATAATGCTATTTGTTTAAAGTGAGCAGTGTGTATTCTGAGTTTATTGTTGTGTGAATTTTGTTGGTTTGAATTCGTAATGGAAGTTTTATGTTTTTGATTTTTGAGAGGGGTTAAATGTGTTTCGATTTCGTTTTCGGTTTCGGTTTCAAACCAACAAAGTTGTATCTTTTTACGCCTATTGGAAAATTATAGGAAAGGTAAACCTAAGATTTTGATTTTAATAGGATAATGCCGTTGGTTTTGCTGACTCGATTATTTCCTTCTGAATCTCTAAACTAAGTACCGTTACGAGGTTGACTAGTTTTCAGTCACTAACTCGGTGTTTTTTGTTTTTTTGTTTTATGATTTAGGTGCGTGAAATGTTTTATCATGCATTTGATGGATACATGAAGCACGCATTTCCACGCGATGAATTGAAGCCTTTATCATGCGGAGGTGAAGATACACTCGGAGGATATGCATTAACATTGGTAAAATCGAACAACCGTTTTGCTCAATGTTTATTATGGGTTATTTGCATCTTTAGTTTTTATACTTAAATCAGCTTTTCAGTATGTCATGTTTTTGTACTCAGATCGATTCGCTGGACACACTGGCTTTGCTTGGTGATCGAGAGCAATTTACTACTTCCGTTGAATGGATTGGTAAAAATATTCGATTTGATATTGTGAGTACAGATTTCGTTTTTGTTTTGCATGGAAACTACTTGTCGGTGAATATACATATATATATATATTTTTTTGCCTGGTTCAGTATTATTTCGAGTAATTATCTCGGTTTCTGCCTTCCTGATATTGTTGGCTATAACGATCGATTTTCCGTTTCTAAAATAATCTTTGTTGTTATATCCTGTATAAAGTGACCAAGGGTACAAAGTCTCTATTCTATGTTATGTGCCAAGTCATCTGTATATGCTTGTAACTATTATTACTCTGGTCAGTTGAAGTCGACTGGTTACATTTGGAGTTCGTTTTCTTTATTTTGCAGAATAAGACAGTATCGATATTTGAGACTACAATAAGAATACTTGGAGGCCTACTTTCTGCTCATCTTATTGCGAGCGACTATAACACGGTATAACTTCACAGGTAGACGATTATTTGCATAGTTGGTGCGTGACAGGGTTACACCATAGAGTTCCATTTATCTTATAATAAATCTAGCGTATACATCGTTTTTCCTATTTGTATGGTGAAATGATTTTTTTTTTTTTTTTGGTTTTGTTTTGTTGACTAGGACAATTTCAAATTAAAATAAAAGGGATTTTAGTTCATCCGTATTTTGAACTTTTACTACTGCAGGGCATGAGGATACCCTCGTACGATGATGAATTGCTTCACTTGGCGGAGGATTTAGCTCGTAGAATGTTGCCTGCATTTGATACTCCAACAGGTATAATTTCGCAGATTTGCTAGTGCTGTGTTATATAATATCTTTACTTATCTAACTCTTTACTTTTTGAAGACGCTTAAACTTAGCAATCCGTGACGAACTTTGATTTTGTTTAAGGTGTTGTCGTGTCCAGTTCTTCTGATTATTATAAATAATATTTGCTGCAGGAATTCCCTTTGGATCGGTTAATCTAATGCATGGAGTTGATGAAAATGAAAGCAAGGCAAAGCCTCTTTGTATTCTCTTTACCCTCTTAGTGCGCTTATTTATCCGAAACTTATATAGTCTAGGATATATAGTTTTTAAGAGATGTTCGTATAATACATCTGTTCGTATGTTATGGCAGCTCCAAATCTTGGCAAGCCATAGAAATTGAAATAAATCTGATTCTAAAAGCTATTTTATTCGTCTTGTTTGTCTCATGTTATTTTATGCGTATGAAAGTTTTGACGATCTCGTTTGTGTAGATAACATCAACAGCTGGTGGTGGGACCCTAACATTGGAATTTGGTGTGCTTAGCCGCTTGACAAACGATCCCAGTAAGTAATACAGTAATACAGTCTTTGATCACCTGTGTGTGTGTGTGCTGATTTTTCTCTCCCTCTTTTATAGCCTTTTGTTTTTCAATTTAATTTAATTAATTAATTAATTTTTAAATTTTTTTTTTGTTTTTTTTTTTAATTTTCTTCTTGTTGGGTGACATATCAGTCTTGAGATTTTTTACGTTTTTCCTAAAGGTGCTAATTTTGTTTTTCGAATATTTGTCTTGTGAGGATGTAGTTTTTGAACAAGTGACCAAGAATGCAGTTCGAGGACTATGGGCTCGACGATCAAGAATTAACCTAGTTGGTGCTCATATAGATGTTTTTTCTGGTGAATGGACTCAAAAGGTTACTTCTTCGACCTAGTACCCTTTTTCAAGAATTAAATACGATCTGTCTGTAGTTGATATTTAAAGATGTTAACCTGCATTTTTCTGCCGTGTCGTAGGATGCTGGAATAGGAACCAGTATAGACTCTTTTTACGAGTATCTACTTAAGGTGAGAAACTATGACGCCGCTTTTTTTTTTTATTTTTTCCAACCCATTTTCCGTCAAACTGTAGACACGTTTGTACATTATTGTCAATTAAAATAAATAATTTTAAAAAAATGTGTCTGATCTTTGAAGTGTTATATGTAATTTACTTCAGGCTTATTTATTGTTCGGCGACGAGGAGTATCTTTTCATCTTCCAAGAAGCTTACAGGGCTGCAATGGTCTATCTTTACAACGATCCATGGTGACTAAAAACTGTCGTCTTTCTTCATTTTCACTTCTTAATCAATAAAATAAAATTCTTAATCTTGATGTTTATAATTATCTGTAGGTATGTGGAAGTAAACATGAATTCTGCCGCCCTTGTTTGGCCATTATTCAACAGCTTGCAGGCATTCTGGCCCGGCCTTCAGGTAAATTTTCGTATTATCGTGCGTAATTAAAAGAATAATAAAAAATAAAATGCATTGTTTGATAATTGTGTAAGGTTCTTGCCGGGGATATTGAGCCCGCAATTAGAACACATGCTGCTTTCTTTAGCGTTTGGAAACGGTATGGTTTCACTCCAGAGGGTTTCAATTTAGCCACTTTCAATGTTCAGGTAATTTACTTTATTTCCATATTTGTTATAATCTTTTTTTTTATTGAGCGAGAATCGGGTTTTTGATTTAACATTGTCTTAACTTGTTCAGCAAGGCCAGAAAAGCTATCCACTCCGTCCCGAGTTAATCGAAAGCACGTATTGGCTGTACAAAGCTACCCGAAATCCCAGGTCTGCTTTTCTACACATTTCGTAATCCATCAACCAAACAGAGCCTTAAAAGAAGAATTGAGTGCCTGGCATTGAAATTAGTTTCTTAAATGTTTTTTTTTTTGCCGAAAACTGGTATAGTTATCTTGATGCTGGGCGGGACATGCTAGCTAGCTTGCAGTACGCAGCTCGATGCACTTGTGGATATTGTCATATATCAGATGTTGAATTTCATCAACAGGAAGATCACATGGAGAGCTTCTTTTTGGCCGAGACTGTAAGTACACGTTTGAGGCCATTTTACTAGAGCCTCTCTCTCTCTCTCTCTCTCTCTCTCTCTCTCTCTCTCTCACACACACACACACACACACACACACACACACACACACACACTTACATTTGTATGAACGATTTCAGGTGAAATACCTCTGGTTGCTATTTGATCTAGCTGCTGGCCCAGATAACTTGGTTGAGAATGGTCCATACAAGTAAGCTGCTTTACATACTCTTCTTAACTTCTCTACTGTATGCTCTCTCTCTCTCTCTCTCTCTCTCTCTCTCTCTCTCTCTCTCTCTCTCTCACTACATGGAAACAAATTTGGGTTTACAGATACATATTTAGCACAGAAGGCCACTTAATTCCAACGACTCCACAAATATCTTTAGCAAGTGAAAATTGTTCATATCTTGGAGCCTACTGTAGAAGCGGCAAACTGGTACAAGAAACGTACTCTTCAGACATCGTAAACGACTTTAGAGGCACAAATTACTCTTTCTCAGGCACAGCTGCCACCAATTTTTTTTCAAGCCCCGCCTTTCACAAGTCACCCTCCTCAGGCTTGATTAAGGTCAGAAACTTCATATAATATAATTTCTTTAATTTTTTTAATTTTTTTTAAAGATACTTTTATTTCATATAAAATTTGAAATCCCGCAAGGGGGCTCCGGAAAAGAGTACCCCCTTTCGTACAACGACATAAGTCTAAATTTGTTGAGAAGAAGATAAAAGTATTTTGTTATTGATATCAAGAAATTTGGTTTAGTTTAGGGTAAATTACACCTACATCCCCTAAGGTTTGGAAAATTACATATACCTCCCTTGAGGTTCCATCTCATTCACAAATCCGACCCAAATGAACAACTCACAATTTTATCTTCACGGGTTTTTTTTTTTTTGAAGTATAAAAACCATGGTTTAAGTTTGAGAGTCGTAATTTCTCTTTGTACTAACAGTTAGAATTTCAATTTTTCGTTGATTAGAGATTGTACTTATTGAGCAAAACCCTCACTTTTGATTTACAAATAGGGTAAAAAAACAATTACAATCAATTCTTTTTGCTGAAATCAGCACTTTTCGGTTAGTCAATGGCCAGATGGGGTAAATTGTTGCTTGGAACCAAACCTCAATGGAGGTATTTGTAATTTCCCAAACCTGTGAGGGGTCTAGGTGCAAAATTTACCCTATAAGTTATTATAAATTAAGCCTCCATTTCTGCATGGCAGGGGTTCTGTCCAGGACTAACTCATGGGCAGAGGTACGGCATATCATACATCGACTCAGTTGACAACAACGATGCTGAGTCAGCACGAACAACAAATGTAGATGACGAGGCTCAAAATTCCCCCGTTTTTGTCAACCACAGTTCCGATTCTCAACCGTCGGATTCTGTTGAGAATCCCGATAATAGTAATTATCATGAACTAATGGAGAATCAAAGAGTACCTCAGCTGAAAATCGAAACTCGAGAAACTGTTGATGAAGAAAGGCCGAGGGACAATTGAATAACTTATACTGGACGAAAAATTTGAAGATTTCTAATTTAAGCAAAAAGGGTTCGAGATAATTGATATCGGTTTCTTCTTTGGGGGTTGACCTTTTAGGGTTTTGACAATAGTTTCGGTAATGGAGGAAAAGGTGACGAGGAAAATGGCTCGATTTCGGGTTGTGGATATTGATGCTGACGTGTCTTCATACATTACACTCTAATTGTGTGTGTACAATATTTGGGTTTTTAGGTTATAAATATGTATGAGAGAGCTTTTGTTGGCATTGTGAGTGTTTAAAACCTCATCGACCATAGATAGCAAAGATTACCACAGTAAGGTCTCTCAAGGTTAAATATTTTCATTCTTTATATATATACGATTTTGTTTACCCTTTAAATTGTATTATTTTTAGTATTTTGGATTTAGAGCCCGTTTGGCTAAGCTTACTTTTAAGGGTTAATTTTTTTTTTCGGGGCAATTTGCTAGATACCCGTGAATCTAATACTTTTTCAGGTAAAGTAAGTTATATTTTTTGTATTTTGTTAAAACTCAAGCTTACCTAGAGAGCTTAGACATAAAATATTCACTTTGGACTGAAAATACTTTATTATCTTCCGCTCATTCATTCTCAAAACGACATACACTCCAAACAATGGCATTTCCTCCACTATACCGCCTCTCAGTACTAGTTAGAGAGTTTAGACGTAAAATATTGACTTTGGATTGAAAATGCCTATTTACTCATCTGTCCTTAAAACTACATTCGCTCCAAAAAATGACATTTCCTCCACTATTTTGTCTCTCGGTACTAGCCTCATGCTGTCGACCGCCTAAACTCTCCAACTAAGATGTCTATTTTCGGAATAACCTGCCACGAGAAACTTTTAGCAAATTCAAAATATTCGTTCAGACTGCTAGCTATACAAAATATTTATAAAGGAGTTTTAACCAATTTCCCCTTTTTGTTTTGAGATTATAAATCCTTCCTCTAGTTCTCTTTGGTACATAATAATGTATGTAGGGAAAATTATAGTTTTCATCCCTCAAGTTTGCACCGATTTCACATTTGGTCCATCATGTTCACAGAAAACACATTTGGTTTCTCATGTTTCAAAAATTCAACATTTTTAGTCATTCCCATCAATTTTCCGTTAGTAGTAACAGAATCAAGCGTACTGTCTTAATTGAGATACTGACAGTAAATTAACGAAAATGACCAAAAGTATTAAATTATTGAAATACAAGGGGTTCAAATGTATTTTTTGTGAACATGGGGACCAAATGAAAAAAACTATAATTTCCCAAATGTATGTACAGCATGTTGACTTTCAAAAGGCGTTTTACCTTGAAAATGGCCTAGTTTCAAAAATTTTGTGTAATTTTCAGATTACAAAAATTACCCTTGTTAGGGGTTGAAAATATTACCAAATTACCTAGGGTAGATGCTAGCCAATCGAATATTCTTTGACACTATATATATTGTAAGAAAAAAAAAAAATTAAAATAACAAGTAAAGCTGCTTGTGGTTTAATAATATAAGAATTAATTCTGGAAAAATATTTATTTATTTATTTTTAATTTTATTTTAATTTTTACTCTGTAAGAGATATGTTTGGTTGTTTGGCAAAGTTGAAACATGTGCACCATCACCTTGTTTATTCCCAACATGTATAAACCCTAAAGTGGGTCAAGTCCAATGAACCCTATACTACAATCTTATTATAAATTAAAATTAAAAATTAAAGTTGTCATATATATATATATATAATAATATAGTAAAATATAATTAGTGCATCAGCTTATCTAATTTCCTGGAAAAAAAATTTAAAAAAAATAGAAAAGAAAAGCTTTATAGCACAGGGCTCCAAAATAGCAAATCTTATATACAATCTGCAGATTGGTAATTTTAAATTAAATGATCACAAAGCACAAAATATTTCTTCTTTGCTCAAAAAAGATTCTTTATATTTAAAGAAAAGATTTAATTATTTAATTATGACTATATTTAATTTCATGCCTGCCATTAACCTAGCATGATGGTTTGGATGCTTTGTTATTGTTATCTTAAATATATGTTACATTTAATAACATTCCTATATGTCTCATGAAACAAAATTATAGAATTGAATCTTTTTTGTAAAAACAAATCTAGTCGAATCGGATGCATTCAAATTTATTTGACTTTTTTTCTACCTTTAGTTTTAAAAATTGTGTTTGAATGTAATTTGATTAGAAATCGAATTGATCCCACACGATGAATAAAACTTGGATGCCTTATTTTATGCAAATTTTTATCAATTTTTTAACGAACCAATTAGCTCAAACGAGCTTGTAATTAACGATCAATCTCAAATCAGATATAAAATAGTTTGGTTTGATTTTAAGCCGTAACTGAACTGATTTGCTTTTCTGATATGACCTTTTTTTCTGTTTATTAACCTAAGGATTGAAAGCTTGAGAAATTCAGAGGCATAAGTAGGGGTGAGAATCAGACGGACATGATCGGAAAGGGTTTTTTCGAAAAGTTTTCAATTATGGAATAACAAAATATATCATAAAATTATAATATATGTTTCGAAAAATCATAGAAATGTTCGGAACTAAAATTGGACCGAAAATCAAAATTCCCAGTATTTTTAAAGTTTTGATTTCTGTTTTTCCTAATTTATTTGAAACGGAATCGAAATGGTATATAAAATTTTAATTTGTTGGTGCAATAATCTTAATTGTGTTTTTTCTTAACGTTTTTGTTTGTCATTATACTCCGCGTGGTCCAATTTTGCAGCTAAATATGAGCTGGAACAATTATTAATAAAAACTTCACTGTTGGCAATTAATTCTTGAAAGAAAATAAATTCACAATGCAATGATAAATAAATAAATAATTAAATATTTATATATATTACTAATACCGTTATGACTTTGACCCTGATTTTGACAAAAAAAATCTAGTTTAATTTTGGCAAAATTCGAACACAAAAATTGTAGTCCTTTGAGTGAGCTTTCTAATCCAACTTAAATCAGCTAAATTGGATGTCGTGCAACAAAGTTATGCAAAAATAAGTCACATTTTGAATTTTAGGTAACTCAATATATACATCAAAGTTGTGGGCAGTGCGTAATTGATTAATGTATATATTTTTTCAGCCGACATCCAATTTCGGTGATATAAGCTGGATTAGGAAACCAACTCAAAAAAAACTACAAATTCTGTATTTCCACGTGTGGAAAATTTGGAATAAAAGATGATCAAAATCGCGTTTGAAGTCGAAACAGTATTACTAAAGCTCGAACGATGACATAATTTATCACATCCCATTACAATGATCCGAATAAAACAAACCAAGGTTTTCATGTTTTTGTAACATAATATAGTATATTATATCAAACTATCAAGAAAAAAACTACTACAAATTACTATATATATGTTGGAAACAAAATTTAAAAAAAAAAAAAAAAAAAAGTGGAGGTTGATACAATTAAATAGGGAATTTAAATTAATATCAAAATATAGATTCT